TCCGGGTATCGTGGAGCTCGCGTGCGCTATAATGCATCCCGCTGCACGCGACCCGATCCACGAACCTGCTTTTCATGTCCCAATTGCGGCTAGACTCTGGTAGCCGACGAGGCAGCTACTACCTCCTTTATCTTTCCTTATGATCTTCTCTTTCTTTCTTCCTTTTACTTGATATTTTTCTTTAAATTCGATCTCGTGCAAGGGGAAACGATGATGAGGAAGAAGTTAATATGCTTTTTCGAGGGGAGAGGTAAATATTATCGCGGTTTATCTCTTTGATACCGTTGTCTCGATTGTCGAGGGAGCAACGAGAGAGATAGAGAGAACGAAGAATCCTTGAAGGAGGAAAAAGAAGAAAGAGAGGAACGTCGAAAATCGATATGGGGAAATAAAATCTTCCATTGCTCGTCGGGCTGATAATTTCGTGGAAATTCCAACGAGTCGAGATAGGAAAAAGTCAGCCGATAATTGCCCTCATAATGGGCCGTGGACGAGACGAAAAAATTCGGTGAAATCGGTGAAAAAGTCACGCGTCGATTTTTACGCATTTTCACGCGTGATTTCTCGTCCACGAGAGAGACAACGAAGGATCGAAGCGTGAAAAAAAAAAAAAATTAACTCTACGACATAACTCGTAATGCGTAGTTTCTTCTGCATAGAAAGACATAAAAGAAAATTCTTTTATTTGTCGCGAATCGATGGATGTGTGAAATGAAAGATGATGAAAATAAAATATTTTTCGAAATGCGATGGAAATATTATTCCATGCTTAAAAATGTTTCTTCTTTTTGGAACACACGGTAGATTAGTTTCGCGTTGCGTAAAGTCACATTCTCTCGGCTACCACGGAGGTACATTCTTTTATCCTATGGAGGAGTATTGTGGTTAAAAAAAAAAAAAAAAAAAAAGAAGAAAAGAAAGAAAGAAAGAATTGCTTTTTCAATGTCAGAAAATCAATATTGGAAGTAGATAAAACGTGCCACTGAATGAAAGCTCTATTATGAGAGTCGTTGAGCGGCGAGCGACGTCGTTTTTTATTTAAATCAGACGAGGATAAATTGTTTCACTTACGGAATATTTATTAGCAAGTTCTCGCAGTTGCCGACTTAATAACTTCCCTTCTATATCTTCTCCGAACGCCGCTGCTTTCGGCATTATCGTTGTTCTTATTTACATTAAGTGCGTTCAACTTATATAGCTGATTACACTCGTGAAAATCAATGGGCATTATCGTTCTAACGCGAGCGCTACGTTAGCTACGTTGGCAAACGTTTTCTCGGCCAACAATGTTTTTTTAATTAATCGTTCCACGGTATTTATCGAGCGACTCGAGATATCGGGTGTGAAACCTTGATCCGTATATATAAAATAGAAGATCCGGAGAAAAAGATGGAATTATATTTTAACGAGTAATGTAAGAATGTGATTCGAGCGTTAACGAGAGAAATTTTCTCAGAGAAAGAGAAAACGTTGAGCAAAAGTGGAAGGAAGGAAAGATCATCGACTCTCTCCTATCTATTCTCTTCGTGTATAATATTTCATAGATAGAAAATTTTCATAGACGAAAGAGAAAGAATCGCGAACAATCGAGATCCTCGTGAATCGTGGACGCGTCTCCTCCTCCCAAGAATCGGATCGAAAGAGCGTTATTTCCCTTAGAAGAAAGCCGAATGTAAGCTAGATACGATAACAAGTTGTTCCCAACAGAGTCGGGAACAGGGTATTCGAGATATTATCCGATTGGCTTTTGATCTTAATCTAAATTGCTGAAACTTCCACTGGAAGAGAATAATTCAAAGCTTCTACCCTCGCCCCCTCTCTTCAACCTCTGTCCACCCTCCATTCTTCCTACGCGGGTTTGCCGAGCAAATTTACAAACGATAAAGCGGATCGTTTGTTCCTCGTTCGTCTCGCAATTATCAATAGCGAGAGATTATAATCGATGCCGATTCGTCTAGCACTTTATATTACCAGCCATTTCTCATCCCCCTTTTTCTTCTTAACGTCGGACACCATCAAGAGCCTGATCGATTGGTTCTACACAGGGTGTACCGAAAAAAACCGATCAAATTTAATTCATTATTTTTAATCGAAAAAGTGCACGCTCGATCAATTTCAAAAAGCTGTTTTTTTCTTTTTTTTTTGGATAAAAGGTAAAACGCGATTGTTTTTACATATCCTGCACGATATTTGCACGATTTTTAAAATTAATGTTTTTCTTCTCGATAAGATACTGATGGAAGAAACTTTGGCCCACTTTGATCCAAGTTGCTTATTATTGCGGGACACGGATTTCGAAAGTTTTCCGCCACGTTTTTTCCAATTTCGATGCGATGTTTGTCGATGTTTACCCTTCCTCGATTCGCGTTTTTCGCCAATTTCCCTTGTCTATCTATGGATTAATCGTGAAACGCGNTAAACAACGCGGCCCAAATAAGTCGAACACCCTCGCGTAGAAGGAAAGAAAGGANAAAAAAAAAAGGGAAAAAGATAAAAAATGGTTCGGAAGAAAGTTGGAAAGTTTGAACCAAGACAAGGGAGCGCTTCTTGCGCTCGAGAAGAACTCTTGCCAAGAGGAATTTTCCAAAGTGGACGTAAGGGAAAGAAAATCGAGTTGCTGTCAACGGATATCGATCAAGCTTTCTTGGGAAAGCTTCGACTTCCCCTTTGCATATCGTTTTTACAAACTCGATTAAGAATTACGAAAACTTTCTATTAAATTCAAAAGTATCCGGGAAAAGCCGTTTATAATCCGTTTTGTTTTCCAACGAAAACCACCGCCATCATTTATTCAACAGGAATATTGAAAATCTCGCGCGAAATACGGCGACTCAACAATTTTATCCCGCATTTATCGACCTAATTGCGTAGGGGGAGGAGGGGGAATATACAAATACACCGTACACTTGGATTTTGCACACCGTACGCGCGGAGAGAAACACTCGTAAGCGCAATTATTCATAAACGAATTAACTCGATATCGAGTTATCCTCGCTGTGGCCTCACGAAAATATACGAGCATTGGTCATCGACGTAACGATAATCAACCGTTTCAACAAGCGCAATACGATAATACCAGAATATAGTAGCGCCTTCCTCTCTTTCTTCGCAAACAGAGATTAGATATCGAGCGAAACGGTGGGACTAACATAAGGTCTGTTGTACGGTACCAGAGCCCAGAGTTCTCTTCTTCTTTTTTCTTTTCGAAACCGACACCAAGGGATCATCGAGTCGTTTTTCATTCTTCTCGTCCACGCCCGTTCCAGTTTCCAACCTCTCTCTCTCTCTCTCTCTATCTATCTCTCCTCTCCTCTCGATGTATACGAGGTTCTATCCAAAGGCAGGATATAATCACCGGAGAAGGATAAAAGGTTGGTCGAGGCCAACCGGACCCTTCGAGTGTCGGCTATTACAACGAGGATCGCCTGGAACGAGGCGAGGCGAAAGATTATCGAACCAAGGTCCTTCAATGACGGTCACTGCCTCTTTCCGCGACACGTTCTCGATCCTCAACCTTGATCGACCTCGATCTCGTCTCTTTTTCCACCCTCTCTCCCACCCCCCGCCAAGTTTCGCCTCGTTAATTCGGCAAGCATAAACCGCCATTTATACCTCCGGACCCGGGAATAGCCACGGCCCCTCCGATCCTCGTTCGATTCCCGATCTTGGGAAGGTTTACGACCCACCGGGGAAATGGAGTCTATGCGAAACAATATAAACGGGTGGAGGCTCGGTCTTTGATTCGGTTGACCAACTCGATCGGGGAAGGAACAAAGGGAGGCTCTTCTCGCTCGAACGGAGAGGAGATCGTCCACTCCTTCCGTTGTATCGCGAAATAATCTCCTCCGGACGATTACTTGTACTTCTTTTTCAGGTAAAGAACAATCGGATTGTCGAATAAATCGAACAAATTTTATTCGATTTCGATTCGGAAGAATTTTAATTGTCACGGACGCTGCAACTTCTTCTTCGCGTGAAATAAGATAGTTTCGAAGTAATCCGAGGCTTGAAATCCTTCAACGTTTCTTCTCGTTTTTAAGAGGATAATAATAAAACGATTACGATTTCTAAAGTTTTCTCTTGTTCGGCTAAGATAAAGTGGAATGTTGTTCGATAGTGAATTGTGTATGTGTGTGTGTGTGTGTGTCAAAGAGTCGATAAACGGTAACGTCGATATTATCATTCTCTAATAATAAGTAATCGCCAGTTTTTAAAACTGGAATCGAAATGTCCAAATTTTACATCGGCAATAATATATCGATTGGATTGGTGGAACCCTTTTTTTCTTTTTTTTTTTTTACTGATTCGATACTGTGGTAAGTTTTTCGCGCGAAGCGAGACAGTTCAAGTGTCCCCGGAGCATCAAAGCATTTTTATCGAGGGGACAATGAAAACACCGTGATCAATTTTAGAGGGAGAGAGGAATGTATAGAGGGAGGAAAATATTCGAGCAATGCTTGGTTGGTCGCGAACACCGATATGTTGCAATATCATGCAGATTTTGTATCAAGCGTAACGATGCTTCTTTGTAATTACATATCTCCTATATTAGCTAGCTCTACGTATTTCGTAACACGCGTATTGCGAAACCAGCGGGAAAAGAAGAAAATCTCTTTGCTATCTACGCTGCTGCTACCGTACCGATAACGTACACATTTTTGTATTATTTTCACACAGCGAGACTCAGACTCGTGTCTCTCTCTCTCTCTCTCTCTCTCTCTCTCCTACACAATTGCATTCACCGAATTGCTCTTACCGAAACAATTTACTCGCAACTCTCTCGCAACTATCTATCTCTAAAACTCACATCTCGTGTTTCGATATTAATCCTAACCGCATACGTTATTATTAAAACGGTGCAAACTTTCCCTTCCCGCGAGAAGAAAGCGAAGAATCCTCGATGCGGAAAAAAACGAAAAATTAACACGCATCTCCGATATTTTTCAATCCGAATTTCGAAAAAAAAGGAGAATTTCGGGAAGAAGATTCGAATCGCTTACCCGCCTTGCAGACGTCCACGTCCACGTCGCCGCTGATACCGTGGGGGAATCTCGTATTCAACAGCTCGTCCACGCTGAATCTGCGGCCCTGCCTTCCAAAGGAGTTCTCGGCGTTGGAATCGACAGCCCGGCAATCGGCGCATCGCCTCGCCAAACACATAATCGAGATCAACGGCAGCAATCTCATCTCGATATCGTCGAGATATCGGTCCCGAACGACGAGTGTGCCTTCCACCCCCCTCCGTGCAACCACCCTAGGCCATAAAAGACCAGCCGCACCACTACCGCCTAAACCAACGCATTTGCCACTGTCCCTCTTTCACCCTCTCTTCCGCCCTCCGAGTCCTTCGTCCACGATCCTCCTCGGCCTCCTCCACCTCCTTCCTCCGCGCGAAAACCACCACCACCGCCACCTCCACTGCCACCACCCCAGCCACGACCACCACCACTCTCGAAACGCGGGAAAAAACTTTCTCTCGAGGGGAGGATGCCACCGATCACATGCCTCCCAACTTTCGTCTCCGCGTGTCGCGACGAAAACGGCCTTTCCTTGTCGCGAATCGAATCGATCCAACGAGTTCGTTTCCACGTTCGGTCACGGGGGATAAAAAAAAAAAAAAAAAAAAAAAAAAAAAAAAAGAAAAAAAAGAACTCGTCCACGAATAGAAATCGTCCACCCCTATCCCCTTTTTCGATCAATTACACAACACACGCGCTCGTAAACCGTCGAGACTTAAAGAGTACGCACGAAGAAAAGACGAAGAAAATTGATATATATACGTATGTATATATATATATATTTGAGAGACACGGATCACACGACGATGAGTAAGAGGATGACGGAGAGTAGCGAGTGAATAACACGGTTGCCTCGGACGAAAACGTAATCGCTACTGCGCGCGATGTTGGGAGCCGATCTTGGAGGAACTTGAGGGGCGTACGTCATCGGGGCAAGAGAGAGAGAGCGCGAGAGAGAGAGAGAGAGAGGGGCGCGATAAGAAAGGCGAGCGCGAGGAAGGCAGCGGGAGCGCGGGTCAAAGTTCGTGTCACAGATCAGAGGGACGGATTGCCGGCGGCGATCGTCCTTGCGTGGAGAACGTGGAGAACAGACTGATCGTCCCTCGCGGCCGACACGACGCGTCGTTCGAAAGCGCGCGCTCGTACTGGCATTAAGTCGAGAGAGGGATAGAGGAGGAGGGGGATACGTATGTATATCTAGAGGGGATGCCGGGAACAAGCGGTCTCCTCCCTCGCAAACGTGCACGGCACGAGGGTGGCCGAGACACTGACCGAGCTTCCGTCGTTCGGCCACCACCGAGCCCTATAAACAGGCCGACCAAAAACAACTCTGCTCCTTCTTCTATCTTCACTTAGAATAGAAACCTTGCTTCTCTTGCTTTCATCGTTCTAATCGCGTTACACGAAAACACTTTCTTTCCTTCCATCTCTCGTTTCATTTTCGAGAATTCGAGAATTTAAGGAAAGAAGAAAGAGAAAAGAAAAGGGTTCGGATATGTAGATTGATCTTTTTCTCTTGAGTCGATTGGATCGGATTCAGAGATCGATCGGGATGGCGTTGAAAAATTCAAAAGCGAAAAATCAGAATAATCGAAAAGTGCACGAAACTTTTTTCCACCACTTTTCGACAATCGCTTAATCCAAACAAGTAAAAATCGAATGTATACGCTTTGAATATTCGCGGCACATCGAACCTCCCCTCCCCCCTATCTATAATTCATCCAACGTCCACGTGTGGTAATCCTTGCGTCACGAATTTACATATCCCGTGTCACCGTGTCCGGGACGATTTTCCGCGAGTTTTCGCCCCCAAAGAAAATGCAACGCAATTGTGTACGCGAACAATCGCGCGATTGGACTTAAAAAATTAACTGGGAATGGAATATCGTTTGCAGAAATTGTAAATCATCGCTGCAATTTCTATTTACGAAGGAAACAGTTGTGGAAAGTTTCGAGACGGTATTGGCCAGCCTCGAGAAGGCGTAGTTTGGAAGAGGAAGAACGGTGGCCGGTTGTAGCGGGGTACGGCGTCGGTTTCGGACACATATTGATAAATATTCCAAAAGTGGCGGGGCCCGTCGCCCACGGAAACACGTGTTCCGTATCCCACGCGACGACCTGTATCGGTCAAGTATCGGATTACTGTCATGGGATCACCCTTTAGGAACCCTGCCTGTCTATCCGAGGGTAAGTGCATGTCGACGCTGCACAGAAACCCTCCACGAGAATAATCTCTGAAGGTACGAAGGGAAAAACCGAATTCTCTGTTAACATCACGCACGAACGGACGAAAACGTTTGCAACGTTTGTACAAGGGCGGAACGATGGAAAACGAACGAGCGATCAGCATGTGAAATGAATCAGAGTTTGAACGTGTTACCGATGGTTAAATGGCGAATAGCGAATAGAAGGGATAAACCAGCCTTCCTTTTTTTTTTTTTTTAAACGTTCGTAATACGTACATTTACAGGGACAGAATTGTCATCGTTTCGATCGATGCGCGGATATTTTACTGGAATCCGAAAATTGCGGATGATTATTATTTTTATTGGAAAAATTTTCGTCCGTTTTTCGAACGAAAAAAATATCGTAACGGTGATGCGTCACAGTTGATCGACGAACTTTTGCGAATGTAATAGATTATTGCGTAATTGTATATTTCGAACGTAATATGGTAATGATGAGTAACAATTCAGGAGGATTAACTGCAAACGACCAAGGCATAGTATTTTAACGAACCACTAGATTCACGAGTGGCGTTTAATTAAAATCATTAAGGAGGGGAATATTAGGAGCAATAAGTTACGTGTTCGTGGCCACAGCTGCACGTGAAACGTTACGTATAAAGTCAATAACATATCTCGTGCTGCAATAATTGTGATAGCCTCTATCGATATTCGATAAAAAAAAAAGAAAGAAAGAAAGAAAGAAGAAGAAAAATAAATTCCACCTTGCACACCTGATTCTCTCACTATTCCAACGCGTACGTCTTGCGAATATATATCCCTATACGATTGCAAAATTGGTACGATTAACGTAAAATAACGTTACAAATTTATCCTTTTTTTTCGTTCGAAATTTTCCAAAATCGCGAAACCGATCCTTCGAAACTTTCCCCACTTTTCCCCATATCCTCTTCTTTCCTCCTCCAATCTTCCTTCGATCCTCTCCAACGTGAAAAACCCCAAAGTCCACCCTTCTCCACCTCCTCTCGTGTCCATGCAATCCGAGTTCGACGGGGAAATAATTAACGTGGAAAGTTTCCACGCGATTGAAAGATCCCGCGCGTTCGATAGAAGGGTGGCCGTGCAAAGTGGATCGAGCGACATTAATTAAAATCGCAGAGTTTAAGCCCATCCCTCCCCCGTCCCTTCCTAGACCCGCTTTTCCACTCTGCGTGTCCCCCCTCCCTCCCACTTACACGGATCGGTTCGACTAGCGAGCATCGTTTAAGTATTCTTGGCACGCGGATAGAGCGGTGGCGGATAGAATCGATCTCATCGAGCAAGTTTTTTTTCCCCTCCCCCTCGACGTCTTGGAGGGGTGGAGGGGAAAGATTCACGAGAGAGATCGGGGAGATGCGTTTTCGGTGTAATTCGCGCAGTAAATTAGCCATAAGTGCATCCGGTCGATTGGTTCTTAGATCGAAGTTGGATCGCGTAATGGGTGTTCGGGTGATAGTTTGTTACGGAACGAGGTAATTGAATTGTTAATTGTGAAAGATTTCGAAATTGTCCCTGCTCTTTCGATC